TTTTTGTTTGATAAATGATGGCACAATTGGCATTACGGTAATTCATTTTATAAAATTGACATTGAAATAAATACCGGTACATAAACTATTTAATTCTATCACTACTACTCTGTATTATAATGTCTTACTTAATGTTTTATTGGATATTAGAATAGAAATGAATTGAATTAATATATAAAATACAATAAACTTGAAGGCTATTTGAGTTTTTGTGACTCTTTTCAGTCGTTATTTTAGTATTGATAGCAATTGTTAAACATAAGATAAGCTTTAATTTTCAATATAATTCAAATATGAATGTGAAAATATAATTAAAGTATTAATATTAATTAAGTAACAATACTAATACAGGATTCTATTCTGGGTAATCAATGATATAAAAGAAAAGTTTTAAATTATACTAGTATGTTTATAAGTTATAAATTATAACAAAATTAATTAAATAAGTAACCTATGAATTAAAATAATTTTCAAAACAGGTTAATAGAGTCCGAGAAGCACTCGAAAAGTTAGGCATTCATTGTCTTGAAATAACAGATCCCAAAGCAGTTCTTGATGGAGGAGATGTTAGATTTACTGGTGATTTCATAGATGATGATTATTATAATTGATACATAATTGGCAATTATCTGAATCAAAGGACACGAAATTTTTGTTGGCATCTCAAAGGATAGGACCAATTATTCTGGTGTCAAAGCATTACAAAAGGCTTTCCCANGTTGTCGGGCGGCATTGGATCTCTTGTTGACCATAGCTGTGGCGGTCACCAGATTTTTTTGGGTCAAATCAATCAACTGTTGGGATGTGAGGCCTTCGAGGGCTGCGTTACCAGCTTTGGCACAACGAATGAACTCTCGGTTCTCGGCAAATGTGGCCGCAGAAGCTGTCGTTCCCATTCAGTCATAGAGTAGATATTAGTTTAGAGACACTTTTATTAGATATATTAGTGTTTGCTTACCGATAGTCAGAGCTGTCGTCAAAACAATGATTTGAGTCAACATTTTGTTTGTTTTAAGTTTTAGTTATTAAAACTAATATTACATCAATTTTATAACTTTATCTAAAAGTAATTTTCTTTTATATATGATTTTCATTTGGACATTAAATACTGTATTTAACATTTCCATAACCAATTCCTAAAGCACTTGTTCAATTCTTTAATTAATTATGCTTAGCAAATGTTTTGTTATAATTAATTGTTTTGATCGGAAAATGATTTCATCAAAAGGGATTTTATTCAGATGTACAGGTACAAGAATGAATAACAAATGTTTTTAACAATTGTACAAAATTAATATCTTTGCATGATAATTTATTGCAATGTTTAAAAAGATAGGACTGACAAATTATCAAGTGTACCCTGTACAGTACGGCATTTTCAATGTCACCAAAATGGGTGCATTTTCAATAATGCACTCAAAATACAATCATTAAAAGGAAGTTCATGTTGGCTTATTATCTTAAATCTAATACTCTGTGGTCGAAATTAATAAATTATTTTAATCCAGGAAATTAATGTCAACTTACACAATTGTGATTTTATAAATTTATGTTAATAAACATTTAAACATTTTAATTATATTTTATAAACATTATTAAGTGTATGAGTATACGGAATCATATTAAATGTTTTAACATTAGAATTATCCAAATTAAAAAATACAGCTACTGTATTACAAAAATAATATTCAAAATTTTCAAAGATAATCTCCAATTAATTTAATTGCATTAATTGGTTTTCTTGGTTAATGTTAAATAGTACAGACATACAAGATAAGTTTGCCTGTGGTTTCGAGAGTTCCCACATTTTTGTGGGCATTTTATTTATTGTAATTTCTTTGTTGAATACTTTCGTCACTTCTGGATATTCTGATCTGTGAACTGATTTTTAAATAAATACAACATTCAATATTAGGTATGTTTTATGACTTAACTATTATGTATACCTAAATTATCATTAATCAGCAGAGCATTGGCACCAGTATCTACAGGAACCGTGATATAAGTGTATTTAAAGTTAGCTTGTCTAACTATTGACTGGAATATAAAATTGAATAAAATATAGCAAATATTAGCATAGATTGTGTAAATCTCATACTCTATAAACTTCTTGTCCTTCGGGTGTGGAGCTGATACACATGACATGGGGTGCAACCATTGACATGAGTCCAGTAAAATGCAACAGTTTGTCGGGCACTCTAATGGCGACCACTGGGTACTGTGGGAAAGCCTTTTGTAATGCTTTGACACCAGAATAATTGGTCCTATCCTTTGAGATGCCAACAAAAATTTCGTGTCCTTTGATTCAGATAATTGCCAATTATGTATCAATTATAATAATCATCTATGAAATCACCAGTAAATCTAACATCTCCTCCATCAAGAACTGCTTTGGGATCTGTTATTTCAAGACAATGAATGCCTAACTTTTCGAGTGCTTCTCGGACTCTATTAACCTGTTTTGAAGTTTAATTTAATTAATTTAGTTATAATTTATAACTTATAAACATACTAGTATAATTAAGAACTTTTCTTTTATATCATTGATTACCCAGAATATAATTCTGTATTAGTATTGTTACTTAATTAATATTAATACTGTTTTAATATTTTCACATACAGTATATTTCAATTATATTGAAAATTAAAGCTTATCTTATGTTTAACAATTGCTATCAATACTAAAATAACGAGTGAGAAGAATCGCAAAAACTCAAATAGCCTTCAAATTTATTGTATTTTATATATTAATTCAATTCATTTCTATTCTAATATCCAATAAAACATTAAGACATTATAATACAGAGTAGTAGTGATAGAATTAAATAGTTTATGTACCGGTATTTATTTCAATGTCAATTTTATAAAATGAATTACCGTAATGCCAATTGTGCCATCATTTATCAAACAAAAATAATTTATATGCCTATTATTCATAAAATATATGGAATTACGTCATAATAATTAATGTTTTGGTTTTTCACCTGGTACATATTACAGTACTCATACTCAGTATTCCTATAAATACAGTATCAAATTGATTTTATCTACTATTTTATGTCATATTCTTAAAATATTTGTATTTTAATTGACGGTAATAGAGGATATAAACTGAAAATAGATAGAAATTCTAATACAATACCTCTCCCTCTCTGGACGGATGACCTATTTTGCAGATGAGAGCAACTCCTAAATCACACAAAAACATAAATCTAAAGAATATTCTCAGTTAATAGGCTTACCATCGATGATGACTACCGGGTCCTCCACATACACCGAGTCGGGGAACTGTTCTTCAGGCGGCAGTTCAATGACAGTGAGTCCGCACGACTTGAGTGTCTGGACGTAGTTGTGGTGCTGTTGCTTAGCCTCATCTAAATTGATGGGAACCTCCACTTTCTGAGCGTTTACTATACTATTGGGTACTCCGGACACCAATGCGTGTGTATATCGTCCGTACTCTGACTTATTAGCACTCATTGTGTTCATTGAATCCAATTCTGTGGCAGTCTTTCAAATATTCTTAAGTTTTGTCATTTATATCCCCTTTTTATATGTAATTTTAAAAGTTGTCAACCAATGACACAAGTATTTCATTTGATTGCATATCATTGCGAATGACATTGAAATTGTATTATCTATTTGTGAAAATATATTTTAAATCTTAAGTGTCAAACATTTCATAACTTAAACGCTATAATACATTTAGTCATTCACTCAAATTTTATCTCATTTTATTGCAATATATTTTGTAATTATCAATTATAAATGAGTTATTTAATTAGTTTTTTTTATAAGGATCAGTAATAGCAAAATTTTATTTTTAGCAACTAATAAAGCAATTAACAGAAAATATTTTTACAATTTAAGCATCTCATATGATAAAAATGGTATGATTTCTAATCTTATTTAAAATATAAAGAAAACTTTGTGTGAATTGCAAAACTGATGTAACATTTGGAAAATGAAATAAGATATGATTTTTTAATTTAAAATTTTTTAAAAATGTTTTAACATTAATTAATTGCCTTAAACTGCATAGAAATGGTATTAATATTGCTTAATTAGGGAAAGACACAATTTATACAGGAACAGTTATATGATATTTAGCCATTACAAATAGCTTGCACTGCTGTATTAAATAGGAGTTGTGGTTATGTTATGTTAGGTTAGGTAACCTAACCTAACCTAACCTAACTTAGGTTTGAGTGAACAAGCTTGTAGACGAAGAGTCAATGATTACTTTTCAAACACTAATCAAACACAATAGAGCATTCAATGTCTCAGTTAGTGCTGCAGAGTAGTGTTTGATTAGGAGTTCAAGTGTCACTGCATTTGGCAGACACTCACATTCACTTGACTCTCATATCTCCAGAACTGATCCACTGATCACACACGAGGCCATCACTTGTTGTCCATAACAATGTCTCCCTATTATAGCAAAGACTCTTTGGATCGATTCGGTGATGATATGTGTGAATACCTCTTCAGTTACCTATCACTCAAAGACAAGATTGTCTTCGAGTGTCTCTCCAAACAGATCCAGAGATGTATTTATGGAAAGCAATACAAACTGATGATCAAAGCCAACAACCACTCCAATGGCGACAATCTCTATGGACTCGTATTTAGTGGCACTCATGGCATCAATTGGATGGCCATCGAGTCGGTGCTCAAGAAGTGTCCGTCCATTTCATGCATTGATATCTCCATCGATAACATGACTATAGATATGATCTCGTGGTGTGACTCGGACTACCAGTGCGGAGATATCAACAATGGACTCATTGAACTGATTATGAGGTGCTGTCACTCATTGTCTGCGTTTGGATTCAATTACAGCAGTGATATGTCCGAAGAACTCATGAGTCGATTCTTCCTGAAGTTTGGATCACATCTGAGACGTCTGTATACTTACGGCCATTACTTGTCGCGCAAGGAAGTGATGAAGTGGTGTCTCAGTCTGGATCAGCTCAACGCCGACAACATGNTACGCTTTGGCATGACCCCCCCTCCCCCCTACCAGTGCGTATGTACTTTGTGCACTCCGCCACAGCAGTGCTACAGTATTTGCAATGGTTATCAATTTATTACTGTTACAGTATAGCACTGGCTAAATATCATACTGGCATAACTGTTACTGTATAATTGTATAACTGTAAATTGTGTCTTTCCCTAATTAAGCAATATTAATACCGCCAATTTTAAGGCAATTAATTAATGTTGAAATAATTTTTTTAAAATTAAAAATCATATCTTATTTCATTTTCCAAATGTTACATCAGTTTTGCAATTCACACAAAGTTTTCTTTATACTTTAAATAAGATTACAAATCATACCATTTTTATCATACTGTATTATGAAATGCTTAAGTTGTAAAAATATTTTCTGTTAATTGCTTTATTAGTTGCTAAAAATAAAATTTTGCTATTACTGATCCTTTATTAAAAAAACTAATTAAATAACTCATTTATAATTGATAATTACAAAATATATTGCAATAAAATGAGATAAAATTTGAGTGAATGACTAAATGTATTATAGTGCATAAGTTATGAAATGTTTGATACTTAAGATTTAAAATATATTTTCATAAAAAGATAATACAATTTCAATGTCATTCGCAATGATATGCAATCAAATGAAATACTTGTGTCATTGGTTGACAACTTTTAAAATGACATATAAAAAGGGGATATAAATGACAAAACTTAAGAATATTTGAAAGACTGCCACAGAATTGGATTCAATGCACACAATGAGTGCTAATAAGTCAGAGTACGGACGATATACACATGCATTGGTGTCCGGAGTACCCAATAGTATAGTAAACGCTCAGAAAGTGGAGGTTCCCATCAATTTAGATGAGGCTAAGCAACAGCACCACAACTACGTCCAGACACTCAAGTCGTGCGGACTCACTG